AATAGTCATTTTGACTGACCGGAGTCTATGGTGGGTATGAACTATGTGAATAGGCGGGTTCGAAGAACCCTCGCCTAAATCTGTTGTCTACGAAAAATACATCTTAAATTTTATAAATATATCAGTTACACCTTGCTGAGTAAATCACAGCATTAGGAACTACTCTGTATGTCCTCTGAAAGTTCATATGTGATAGGGAAAAAATAGATGATGAGCTTTTGCTCTTTGTGAATGCAAACAACTCCTAATTTGCTTCCATTAATTGGCTTTAACAAATCAATAATGTAATCCACTTGTAAGGTCAAATTGCCTCTTTTCGATTCCATGGTATCGTTAACAGAATATAACCCATTTTTACAAATATTTTTTTTTTTTTTTTTTTTTTGGGTATAAGGTGCATGCCATTTTTGTGCAGTGATGACATAGCTTCTTCTTTTGTGTTTTTTTTTATTTTTGATAATTTATTACTAACAGTGTTTTTTTTCTATGCATGCTGCATGATTGGTATGTAAAGGTTAAAAGATGGGTAAATATGCACTTTTGATTGTTTGTACATTTGGGCAAAATGTTCACAAGTATATGTACCCTAGAAAAATGTTGCTTTTCAAAAGGCATTGTATGTACCATTAAACAGGTTTTTCTTTTATAGTGTTATGAAATTAATGAATATATTAATAGCTAATGAAGATATAAAAATTGTTCTCTCTGGAGTCTCACTACCATCAGCAGCTTTCAGTGTTTTCACAGCACCTTCATTAGCACTGAAAGGTTCTGTTTTATGCTATGTCAGACTTTGATAGGGAATTTATTATCTCTTTATAACATGGAGGCATCAAACTTCCGTCTTTTGAATTATAATATTGGATACGCCATAATCACCTGCAGTGTCTGGAAAGTAAAAAAAAGGAAATTAGTTTTAATTCTGTCTTACTGATACTCGTCAAGTACCTCAATTATATACTGATTGGTAATTCAAAACTAATTCAATGTCAGTTTATTTTCATACAAAACAGGTACATTATAATGCCTCTTTAGGTAATTGCAATGTTTTTTTAGAATTGCACCGAATGCACAGATCCGCTCATATTGCACAAATGCACATTCCACGAAAGTGTAAGTGGTTGTCCACATTCATTACCATAATTATATTTAAGAATAAAAATGTTATTAGTTAACTCTTGTCCTGTACATGCTGTATTATGCTACGCTACAAACTATTCAGTTTGTGTTTTTTCTTGCTTTTGCTGGCTTTTCAAACAAGGTGAGTTGAGAATATTTTTTGAAAAATGCAGACTCCAAGAACAAGAGTGATGGGCGTAATGTTATCTACTATTTGGTGAAAATATCAGTAAAGCTATAATTTCAAAATACAAAAACAATCTTGATTTTATATTCAAAGCAAGGTAACAGGAGAGAGATAATCGGTACTTTCTGAATTGTCCTGATTTGAACTTTCTGAAAATGGTTTATGTTTACATTTGGAATTATGTTCCTTATTGAAAAGTATCCTGACCCTTTATATGCTATCCCAAATATAAGTAAAATATACATGCATTTTTGCATTCATTTTTATTTTTTACTATGACTCATCAACACAAATGAGGATAACGAGGACAAAAAAAGCAAAAAAACTGAAACAGTAAATTTTTTCTCTTAAAAGTTTTTGGGTTGTGTGTAAATAATCATCAAGATCTATAGCCTACATGTATGGGCGCCATTGGTGGACCTTATTCGACTCAGCATTCAATCTGTCACTTTACACAATCTTGAGTCATCTACATTGCCTGAGAACCCCCCACCAACCTCTTCCTTTCACTGATGTTAATCTTTTCTAGGGTTTTCTTCCTTTTTCCCCCATCTACTTCACATTGCTTAATAATTAATGTTAAAAATTATTATTCCAAAGGGGTACTACATTTGTAACCATAATCAGGACAAATTATAGATCACTATTTCATAAACAGTATCTTTCCTGTTACCTTAATTTATCATCTATTCATCATATCATATCATGTAGAATCATATCCCACCATTCATTTGAAGGTTTCACTCATGGTGATATTATATACCAACCTTAATTTCAGTTGACATTATTTCTTTTTCCAATTAAAGTAAAATGCTATAAATATTTTGTTTTCTCTATGCTATCATTCCTGCAGGGTAACAGATCAAACTGTGTCAACTTTGATACATAAATGTAGACCCTATCTTATACATTTGAATCTGAGAGGATGTGCTCATTTAAAGAAACCAAGTTTTGTATCTATTGGTAAGACTAATACTGTATTGATCAGTCTTCTATAATATTTTCAAGTCACACTTTCCACAGCAACAAATGCCTTCCTGGCAGCATCTGCAAACTTACATTAAGGCTGTTGATTTATTTTATTCATTTTTACCTTGCCCGTACCATCAAAGATGGAAGGGAAAGGTATATTAAGGGAAAAATTTTGTCCGGCGTTGTCGTTGTCGTCGTCGTCGTTAATAATTGTTATTGTGTGCATAATAACTTTACTAATTCTATTCCAAACTTTATCAAACTTGGTCACTTTATTCATCAGTTTGAACAACAGATGTCCTGTATGAAAATATCATGCAAAAATTGA